CAGATATTTCTCATTTCTCTTGCCGCAGGTTTAGGTCAACTTCTGGTGCATTCTTGCGCCGGTGTTTCAGGTAAGGTCTGAACAGAAGTTCATTTCAGGGCTTACGCCCAATCCCAACAGCGGGCCAGCAGAGTGTTCAGTGGCATCATTGGCTTTGTTTTGAAGAGGAATCATTGGGTTTGTTTGGGAGGTATTGGGCAGATATGGCACGTCAGACACACTGGAAGAGCCTGGAAACCAAGATCCGTGACAATTTCCAGACAACTTGGTTTGCTTTGACAACTTTGCCCTTCTTTACTCTCATGCAAGGATCTGGTAAACTGCGCGAGCGATGGGCCTGGCAAGGGTTGAACAAACGCAACATTTGGAAGAACGGGAATGAACAAGAAGCTAGTAGTAACAAGTGCATCGCTACTATTAACAAGTGCATCGCTAGTAGTAGCTAATTTACTACTAGTAACAAGAAGCTAGTAGGTTGGAGCAAATGAGCAGGCAAAAAGCGAGACCAACACACCACGAGTTGTGGAACCAAGGCCCGAAGAGAGGAGAGCCAAGGTGCCCAAGTCCAACTCAGGGCCAGAGACGCAATGCACTTGTTACCAATAGCTTCTTGTTACTACTAGCAAGGCACTTGTTACTAGTAGCGATGCACTTGTTACTAATAGCTTCTTGTTACTACTAGTAAGGCACTTGTTACTAGTAGCGATGCACTTGTTACTAATAGCTTCTTGTTACTACTAGTAAGGCACTTGTTACTAGTAGCGATGCACTTGTTACTAATAGCTTCTTGTTACTACTAGTAAGGCACTTGTTACTAGTAGCAATGCACTTGTTACTAATAGCTTCTTGTTACTACTAGTAAGGCACTTGTTACTAGTAGCGAGGCACTTGTTACTAATAGCTTCTTGTTACTACTAGTAAGGCACTTGTTACTAGTAGCGATGCACTTGTTACTAATAGCTTCTTGTTACTACTAGTAAGGCACTTGTTACTAGTAGCGATGCACTTGTTACTAATAGCTTCTAGTACATGCCAGAGAGACATGCTTTTATACGAACACGTAGCAGTTAGGCGTTTCGGCTTTTTTGCTGCAACCCATGGTCATTTGTGGACCGGTTCCTGCAGGAGACGCTGTGTGCGCTGCTCCTCCTCAGTTTTAGAGGTTTGCATATGAATGCCCAGGCGCAGGGGTTGACCTTTGTCTAACGAACAAAACCAATCAATTTGCGATTTTCCCCCTTCTGATTGAACATGCAGATCCGTGGAGGTGCAGCGGGCTGAGCGAGAATGCATGACGTGCGTCAGGACCTTGAAAACGAGAATGTACAAGGGCAAAGGCAAAGGCTGCATGGTGTTTCCGCTTGATTTAGCGAATAATCCGTCGGCTGGGGTCGGCGGATTTCTGAAGGGGTTTTATGGCTTCATTGGCGTGAAGAGAAACACACCACAACCGATGTGGTGCAGTGCAGGCTAATCTATCCGTCGCATTCCGTCGCCATTTATTAATCCCTCTAATCAATCTCTCGATTATCTATCCGAGTCTCCACAGACTGGTTTCTTCTTCGAGAAAGGAAACGGTAGCATTTCACCAAGGACGTGGATGACCGATCGACCGCAAGACAGCAAGCGGTCAAACCAACGTACGCCACAAAGGCTGTTGGCGGGGAAGATGACGAAGGCAGCCAGGTGGAACTCTATGGCCGCAAGCAAACCACGGTTGGTTTTGGCATGAAACCGCAGCCGATCGCGCGCCCAAGCGGGTTTTTGCTCCCTGATTTGTGCGGCTCTAAGACGTTTCAACTCTTGCTTGCTGTGAAATGTTGATGCTAGTAGCGTCCTTCTAGCGTCCTTGCTCCTAGTAGCGATGCCCTTTGCTCCTAGTAGCGTCCATTGCTCCTAGTAGCGATGCCCTTTGCTCCTAGTAGCGTCCTTCCTTGCTAGGCCCGGCCAACGTTTTAACATGTCCGTGCTTCAACGAAACCTACAGGGGGGTTTAGGGGCTTAAGCGCAAGATAGTGCAAGAATGCATGCGATGCCCAAATCCGAGTTCTAGACACAACCAACGATTCCTGCTTGTTCCTAGCGGTTCCAAGAGCAAGCCGATGCAAACCCTAGCGATGTTGTTCAAGTCGAAAAGCGTAAGACGCTCCAGCTGTCACTAGGGTGGAAGAGGACCCAGAGCCCCGTGCTTAAAAGACCTGTTCAGCAAAGTACACAAGCACTTGAGGCTAGGGTGAGCACAACAGAAGTAAGGTGATCTCATTTGGTGAGTTCTAGAGTACGTTAAACCCTCCTTTGAAAAAAAGAAAAGATAATGCACATCGTTTCTGCGGAATTCTGAATACCTTCGATACCCGCAACAGCTTGACAGTACATGACATGATTCTTCGATAGCATGCAGGTACGTCAGCAAGCGTCCAACTGAGAATTTCTAAAAGCGCTACTAGGGGCTCCTGGCCTTACTACTAGGAACAAGAAGCTACTAGTAACAAAGGGCATCGCTACTAGGAGCAAGGACGCTACTAGGAGCGGGCATCGCTACTGGGAACAAGGATGCTACTAGGGGTTCCTGGCATCGCTACTAGGAGTGAAGACGCTACTAGGGTCTCCTAGCGGTTCTGACTAGGACCAACAGGAGTGATAAGTAGGCTCACTGCCTTAAGGGTATGACTTGGCAGAGTTAACATGTCATTATGGTTGGAGGCCATTCCTTATTAGGTTGGAGGTAGTCATGAGTGTAGTGTTAAGTACGAACTCTTCCAGGTTTCAATCACTTCACAAACGAAGGCGGTTCAAGAGTCTATCACCATTACATATATAACCAGTCTATGTTTTGTTTCTTTTAGACTGGTTGGTCCGGGCTGTTGCTTTGGTAGATGATCGTGTAGCCGATGAAGTGCCATTGAGGCACCTGTTATGGGTGGCTTTCCAAGCAATGAAAATATTTCCGAGGCTCGTGCGGTGCGCCAGTCACCTTGAGCCCTGACTTCAAATTAAATAAAACACGTGATATGCTGTTGTTTTAATCAAGCGAAGTTGGTGTGCCCCTTTTGCTATTTTTTGTTTTTGTTGAATTTTGTGTTCTTTTACTTTTTATAGAATTTGACAGCTTTTTGCTTGTTGTCGATTTTCTGAAGTTTTGTTTGTCGAATTTGTTCAATTTGTTTTTTCTCATGCGTTTGGCAATGCCGTCGAGCAGTCGCTACAGTAGCAGCAGGTGGCCATCCGTGGGGTTGAGCTCTTCCAAGGCATGGGGCCGTGGCGGCCGTGGGATTAGTAGCTAGAAGCTAGTAGGAACAAGTAGCTACTAGTAACAAGAAGCTACTAGCAGCGGTGCCCTTAGCTACTAGTAGTTTCTAGCTACTAGTAATAATGCCCTTGTTACTAGGAGCTAGGGGAAATGTCACTATAGTAGAAGAGGTTAAATCGATTGCAATTTATTTCCCAACCTAACGATTGATTTTGCTTGCGATAAGAAATCGCCGTTCTGCTTTGAAATGTACACGGAATGAAGAGCCGCACGCGACAATTCGAGCCAAGCAACGCAGAGCTGAAAGTCAAGACGGAGAAGCAAACAAATAAGCAAGTAACTGTTCAGTGTGGTTCTTTCAACTGTTCAGTGCCGGTTGGAGGCGCTTTTAGGTTGGAGCCATCGCAAGTAGGGAGGCCATTGCTACTAGAAATATGCTACTAGCTTATTGTTTCTAATAGCAAACATTGTTACTACTAGCGATGCACCTGTTACTAGTAGCGATGCACTTGTTCCTAGTAGCTTCAACGTTAGTTTTGTTTTCTCAATGCGATGGAGGGATCCACAGGAGGGGCAGGCTGCTGCTGCAACGACTGCGCACCAGGGGAGTTGGTTGAAGATCCTACCAGGGCCAAAGATTCAGCAGAACTTCTCGAAGACGCCTTCGCGGCACAGAAAGCAGCCAAGGCGCAGAACTGTACCAAGTTGAACAACAGGGTTGTTTTTTCTTTTTTCTAGTAGTTTCTTGTTCCTAGTAGTAAGGCACTTGTTACTAATAGCTTCTTGTTACTACTAGTATGGCACTTGTTACTAGAAGCGATGCACTTGTTCCCAGTAGTTTCTTGTTCCTAGTAGTAAGGCCAGGAGCCCCTAATAGCGTCTTTGCTCCTAGTAGCGATGCCAGGAGCCCCTAGTAGGTTCTTGTTCCTAGTAGTACAGGGTTGTTTTTAGCCTATTAAGACATCGCTAGTAGATTGCAGGCCATCGCTCTTAGGCCTCTCAACAGTGCGACTAAGCATTGGGGTCCAGTCGGATGCGGTTTGCTATAAAGATTACCCATTCTGAAGCACGAAGCAGACGTGAAGCAGACGATTACAGACTTCCCGTGTTTACCGGTCGAAGAGGGGGAGTTCGAAGAGGTCGATGGTCGACCGTGACTTTGCACGAACTCGCTTGCGACGTCGTTTCTCCGCCGTTTTGGTCAGATGGGTGGAAAGATTTTGGCGGGAGCTCAGAATGCCGCTGGCGTTGTGCTGGATGCGCTACAAGATGATGTATCTGAAGAAACACCTGTGGATCAAGTATCGCAGCTGCATACCAAGGTTCTCTGATGTTCCCTCTATACAGCTTGCAATAGGTTGGAGGCCATCGCTATTAGGCAGAAGGCCATCGCTGTTAGGTTTTAGGTTCTCTGATGTTCCCTCTTTTTCCGCTTACAATAGCTTGCACACAAGAACGCTTTGGTCATTTCAAACAACTCTCGTACCTGCTGAGGGACGGAGCAAGACTGGAGATGCTGCTGGAGGCAGCATCTGCGTTGGCCCAAAGGTTTTTCGAAAGTCCAGTTACTTCAAAGTAGTAGCGTCCTTGCTCCTAGTAGAAAGGCCAGGAGCCCCTAGTAGCGTGCTTACCTAGCAAACCATTTTCTAGATCTCCGCTTTCAGTCGAACTTGTTTTTGCGTCGTATTTCCATTGACCTGAAACGAGTCGTTCCGCTGAAGCAGGAGCATGGGTGCAACTTCAGTCCTACATGCACCACAGCCACATCACGGTGAAGATGGTTGGTGTTTTCATAGCGACTGGCTTGATCGTGGTCTCCATTTTGGATATCGTTGGCTTCGCAAAGACCAATGTGGACTCTGAACCTTTCAATGTCCGAGCTTTTGGCTATTTGCACAATGCATGGAACATCCTCTTTGGGGTTTTGATGATCTTTATGGATGCTCCGGCAAGATGGCTGGGGAAAATGGCACCTTGGCAAAGCACTTTGTGGCAAAAGGCTCACATCCTTGCCAAAGCCAGGCCAGACATGTTCCACCGGGCAACAGCCGCAAAACAACCAAACGAAAGACGCAAAGTGATGCACATATGCTTGTTACTACTAGTAAGGCACTTGTTTCTAATAGCTTCTTGTTACT